AGAGCACATACCCCAATCACCATCAACGGCACTGCTGTGTAAAGAGGGAACAGCTTCCGTTTCCTAGGTTTACATCTGGCGCAGGATCTCACATGTTAGGTTCACACAAACAGCATACACCTTCATAGACAGCACAGTGTTACGTCACGCATCGCAGTATGACGGGTATGACCGCAGCGAGGTGTGACCTGTGTATCCGATGTCACTGGTGTGACGTTGCGCAGCCTTTGCAGATGGCAGCGCGGTGTTACGTGAGGGGTGTATATTGAGCTCTCTCCTGTCCTCACTCTACACCTACGACTGCATGTCCACTGGTATCTCTTATTTCATTGTGAAGGAGGATCTCAGTGCCTTTAAACTTTATTGCTAAGAGAACCATCTCACCCTCAATGTCACAAAAACAGAAGAGATGATAGTGGACTTCTAGAGGTGTTGTAAAGTACATACCCTGATCACCATCAATGGCGCTGCTGTGGAAAGAGTGAACAGCTTCTGTTTCCTAGCTGTACATCTGGCGGAGGATCTCACATGGTCAGTTCACACGAACAACATACCCCTTCATAGACAGCACAGTTTAAACACCTCCTCCCCCCACAGATCCAGTGTCACCGGTCGACCTGACCGTCAATTCTGTGTCGAGCAGCTCAGACTTGTGTAACCTCATGATGACCTGCAGCACAAAGCACGCTTACATTAGCAGCATTTTTACATGTGACACCACAACCTGCTATCAGGAAGGAGGAGAGCAATCAGAGGTTACAACGTCAGGTGCTTCTCTCCATGTTTGCTTGTCAAATCTATCAGTCATCTGTGACCATAGCAACCAGGTCAGCTGGACCAGAGACATGAAGAACATTGAACATCTTTGTGCACTACTTGCCGGTAAGACTGAAAGAGAAAATGTTGATGATGATCATTTTGATTTTTTTCTTAAGATAACACTTCTTTCATTTAAAGAAATTAATTATTGACGTGACCTTCTCACACCAAGAGTGAAATAAAACTTCACAGAAAGAGAATTAATATTTTTCTGGATGCTATTTTATTGTTTTTGACTACTAGTTCAAGAGTAAAACAAGCAAATTAAGTTATTTGTATACCTGCTTTGTACATTGTTGGTCTATAACATTTAGACAAACAATCACTACTAGTCAAGTTCTGTTAAAATAATTCATTTTTCTTTACATCAGATTGACTCAGAGTTTAATCTTTTTTTAACTTTAAGGCCTTTTGATTATTTTTGTTTGTTTGTTTTACATTTTCTTTGTTTTGCAGGTTCTGGGAGTCTCGCTGATGGTATCTCCATCTGTTTGGTAAAAACGGTTGTTTTCTCTGTGGGTCAATAAAGAAATTTGTCATAAAAGTGCTGAACAATAATTAGGTAAGCTTTATTGAGCCACGTGGGGAAATACCTCTCTGCATTTAACCCATTCACTCAGTGAAGCAGTGGGCTGCCATTGGGCGCAGTACCTTGCTCAGGGGTACTTCAAGGTGGCCGTTCAGGGGAATCAAACCCCTGACCTTCTGATCACAGGGCTAACACTTTACCTAGTGAGCTATCCCTGCCCTCCAACAAGGAATAACAAATAAAGACTCACTTTGTAAAGAAAATTGTGTTTTTTAAGTTTTTTCTTAAATACAAGTTTCTTCGCTCTTGGATCGGCTGGAGTGGGTTTCTGATTTGTTTTCCACAATGCAGGACTAACATCTCTGAACCCTGAACTTTCTTCTGTAACCAGAAGAGGGCAGCGAGTGACTTGTGATGTGGGCTGCAGGGAGATCATACGTTTAGAAATTTTATTTTCAGCTGTTAATATATAAACATTTCTCATTCATTTTGGTTGGGGGGATTTTTGGAATGTTCGTAACTACTGTACAGGATAAATCCAGCAAGATCTGAATCCAGAATTTTACATTATCAATGAAAAACCCACAGTCATCTGATATTTCATGAAGTCAATTCCTGCAGCCTAAATGCATTCAGATCATTATATTACCTCTTCTGCTTTGATCGGCTTGATTGGACTCTGTCTTTAAAACTCCTGTAAACTCATCATGACTTGCAGTGCACGGGACTCGCACCTTAGCTCACTAACTCTCACACATGACCCCAAAAATCTGCAGGAAGAAATCAATAAAAGTTTGTTCGTGCAGGCTGATACTGTCAGACTGAGTCATGGCTTCTGTTTTGTCGTCTCTTTCTGCTCAAAGGTAGTGTTACTGTGAAACGATGGCTATCTGAGAGCTAAAACTAGCACAGCTCACAGATAGTTCACTTTTGCACTGTTGGTCTGTATAGAGGAAGAATGCAGTTGTGAGAAGGGGCTGACCCTGTTCTGCTGTCAGTGGTGTAAA